CTCCTCCTCCTCCTCCTCCTCTTCTTCTTCTTCTTCTTCTTCTTCTTCTTCTTCTTCTTCTTCTTCTTCTTCTTCTTCTTCTTCTTCTTCTTCTTCTTCTTCTTCTTCTTCTTCTTCTTCTTCTTTCAAGCCCCTTTTGCCCATGATGCAAATGCCAGCTCTCCAGTTACACCGATGTCCTCATCAGTCTTCACCTCTAATTACTCCTTATGGCCTTATTACTCATTGTGTGTCTTCGGTGCACCCCTGGAACTGAAACAAAGCCAAACAAGGTAGATTTGTGTCCAGTAGCCCCTTAGAGACCAGCGAGATTTTGGGGGTATGGACTTTCAAGAGTCAAAGGTTCGTTCGTCAGGTATCTCGAAAGCTCTACTCCAGACCAAGATGGCTACGCCCTGAAACAAAGCCGGAAAAAGCAAGCTTCTCTCAGCTCACGCAGGGGCAGGTTTGGAGGCTGAAGGATTTAATTGACAATTTTAAATTAAGTCGATCTGGGAGTATTGATGGGCCTCACTATCCCTTGTGTTGGGTTTTAAAAAACTGCTCATGGTGCCGAGAACGCGGGTTGTGTGTTCCCCCACATCCTCTCCTCCCTTGCTCTTAACTCCTTAGTGATGTTTAGAATCCTGCCTCTCCGTCTTTGTACAGCAGTTCAGAATTTTAAAGGTGAGGAAATGAATTTCAGAGCTGCAGCAGCAGCGGCAGAGAGGGACCTCTGTAACACCACCTTGCAAGAGCGTTGTTTGTGTTGTTGCTACTTCTTCTAGCGTTCTGGAAGCGGCGGTTTCTCTGGGAGGGAAGGACTTGATCCCGTTCTACAACCTGCTGGACGGTGGCAGAGAGGGCGAATTCTTCAGGGTAAGTTCAGGTTGCCCTACGTCAGCCTATCAAATCGATCCACAAGAAGATACTAAACAGATTTTCAGCTTTACAAAAGCTTTCTTGCCCGGCTTGCCCCGACGAGTACTCTACTCATCGGAGACAAGTAGCCATTTATAAGCCTGTACTTGTATTGGTTGGGATGCCAGAACATAAGAAGAGCCCTGCTGAATCAGACCAATAGTCCATCTAGTCCAGCATCCTGTCTCACACAGTGGCCAACCAGTTCCTCTGGAGGGCCAACAATAGGATATAGAGGCCTTTATAAAAGCATCAGAACAGCCCTGCTGGATCAGACCAGGGGTCCATCTAGTCCAGCATCCTGTCTCCCACAATGCTTGACCAGTTCCTCTGGACAGCCAACAACAGGGTATAATAGAGGCCGAGGCTTTCCCTTGATGCTGCCTCCTGGCTCTGGGATTCAGAGGCTTAGTGCCAATGCACAGTTATTAGGTAAATGTAAAGGTTTCCCTTACTTGAGCGTTAGTTGAATCCAACTCTAGGGGGCAGCGCTTATCTCCGTTTCCAAGCCGAAGAGCCAGCACTGTCCGAAGACTCCTCCGTGGTCATGTGGCCGGCATGACTAAACGCTGTTCCCTTCCCACCGAAGTGGTACCTCTTTATCTACTTGCAATTTCTTGCTTTCGAAATGGCAGGCTGGCAGGAGCTGGGGCCAGAGACGGGAGCTCACTCCGTCATGCAGCACTTGGGTCTCGAACTGCCGAACTACAGACCTTCCGGTCTGCAGCTCAGCGCCTTAACCACTGAGCCACCACGGCTTTCTTATTTTTTAATTACAGTATTTATACCCCACCTTTCCTTAGTGGCTCAAGGTGGAGAGTGGTGAGGTCAGTCATTTGCTGATCCACCCCAAGTCTGGAAAACAGCCCCTTTCCCTAATTGATCTGTCATTCTCTCACAGCACAGAGCCTTTTTGGAAAGTCAGAAGGAGAAGAGAACAGTCAGCTACCATATCTCACCTTGTCTGGAGTCAAGGTCCCGCTGGGTCCTTCGTGGTCCCCAGAATCCTGCAGCTGGTGCCGTATGACTCCCAGCCAACTAAAGCTGCACAATGGGATTGTGCTGCTTGTGCATTTTACTGTTTAAGGCAAAGGTTCCCTTGCTCGAAAGCCAGTCGAGTCCGACTGTGGTGTAATGTGTCTTTAACCGTTTTTGCTGCTATGATCATATCATCAGCTATCATGTGCACCCCTTTTATGTGGCCGAAAACCTCTTCATTTTTTTGCTGAAATACCTCGCTAGAGGATTTCAGACCAAAGGGTAAACGATGAAAACAATACCTTCCCCAAGGTGTATTAAATGTGCACAATTTTGCTGATGCTTGATCTAGCTTTACTTGCCAGTACCCATCTTTTTCATCCACAATGGTAAAAACTTTCCATGCATTCCTGCTAACTTACTCAATACATCATCCACTGTGGGAATTGTGTAATGCTGTCTACGAACTAGGGTTGCGGTGCTCATCTCCGTTTCAAAGCCGCAGAGCCAGCGCTGTCCGAAGACATTTCCGTGGTCATGTGGCCGGCAAGACTAAACACCAAGGCGCACGGAATGCTGTTCCCTTCCCACTGAAGTGGTACCTATTTATCTACTTGCAATTTCTTGCTTTCGAACTGCTAGGTTGGCAGGAGCTGGGACCAGAGATGGGAGCTCATTCCGTCATGCGGCACCTGGGTCTCGAACTGCTGAACTACTGACCTTCCACAGCCTGCAGTTCAGCGTCTTAACCACTTGAGCCACCGCAGCTCCTCATTTTACTGTTTACACTGGGGCAATTTTTAGATCCAGGACTGAGAAGCTAAAGTGCAAATTGGATCTCAGTAGGATCTGGGTCTCACTTCTGAAGTCAAAGCAAAATCTGGCTTGAGACTGAGTGAGGAAGGCAGAGAGCTAAAATGCAAAGTGCTAAAGCCAGTCTGGTGTTGTGGTTAGGAGCGCGGACTCTAATCTGGGAGAACCGGGTTTGATTCCCCACTTCACCACATGCAGCCACTGGTGTGATCTTGGGTCAGTCACAAGTTCTCTCTGAGCTGTTCTCTCAAGGGCAGTTCTCGAAAGAGCTCTCTCAGCCCCACCTGCCTCACAGGGTGTCTGTTGTGGGGAGGGGAAGGGAAAGGAGTTTGTAAGCCGCTCTGAGACTTCTTCGGATAGTGAAGGGCGGGGTATAAATCCAATCTCTTCTTCTTCTAAAGAAAAGGCTATCATTTGTCTAATGCAGGGGTCCCCAACACGACGGTGCCCCTGGTTACCCTGGTGTCTGCCAACACCTTTTCTGGCACCCACCGAGAGTTTTTAGAAAGTGGGTGGGGCCAGGTAGAGCTTTTGCCCAGCAAGGCTTCTGATTGGCTATTGGAGATTTGATTGACTGTGCAAAATTTTTAAAATTTTTGCTTTGGCAGCAGGAGTTGCAAACGCAGCACAAATATCTGCACTGTGTCACAGAAGTGAAGCTTGTGGCAATCGTTTCGTGGCTGGTTCTGCCTCCCGCAGCAGCCATTTTGCGGCAGCCATTTTGTTGCTGCGCCCACCACGCCTTGTTAGGATTCCAAATGTGCCCACAGGCTCGAAAAGGTCAAGGACCCCTGCTTTTAATATATCTAGCCATCCAATTTGCCACATCAAAAGGTCTGCCTTCTCCACCTGAAACGTCTGTTCTGTATTATATTTCCTGCCAGGAGCTGGAAGACTATTTTTACTATGCACAGCTGCGTCATCAAGGCATCGACACCATGGAGCCACGAAAGGTGTCGACACATATTCCCTTGGAGCAGATTCCTTTTGTCATGCGAGCGATGGGATTCTACCCATCGGAGGAGCAGGTCAGGGTTTTTAAAAAGTACCAAACAGCATGTATCCAGAGCTGACACCTTTTGATCTTGCTTACACTGAAGATGGATATGGAGCCGCTGCACTGATTGAAGTCTGGAAAAACAAAGGGGTCTCGTAAAAGACTAACCGGGTTTATTGTAGCACGAATTTTTGGGGGGAGCCCATTTGCCTAGATGCACAAAGTGTATCTTCAACTGGCCTGCCCAAATGTACACATATAAAACGTAGAGCGAAGTTTCCTAGAAACGAGCAGCAGTTGCCCTTGCACTTTGGAGTCGTAGAGATTTACTGCAAGAGCCCAGCTAAAACGACCACTTCCTTCTACTAAGGGGTTTGTGTGTGAGTGTGTATGTGTGAATGACTGAGTAAGAAGAACAAATGTAGAGTCCGGTGCAATGTTCCCTCTAAGCTGTGAAGTCTTGTGAGCAAAAATTCTACTTTGTGAGCGATTGGCATTAAAGTTGTGAGCAAGCCATTTGGCTACTGCATAAATTAATTTGCTCTGGTGCCCTCCTTTCTGAGCTGAAACAAAGATGTGTGAGCTGGAGGCTAAAAAACTGTGAGCTAGCTCACATCAACTCAGCTTAGAGGGAACACTGGTCCGGTGGCACCTTCAAGACCAACAAAGTTTCATTCAAGGTATGAGCTTTCGTGTGCAGGCACACTTTTTCAAATACACTGGAATGGTAGCAGAGGGTGCGTTCAGACGGACAGCTAATCCCGCCATTTTGTTGTTGTTCAGTCACACAGTTGAGTCCGACTCTTCGTGACCCCATGGACAAGATCACGCCAGGCCCTCCTGTTTTCCGCCGTCCTCTGAAGTTTGCTCAATTTCATCTATGACACTGTCTAACCATCTCATCCTTTGCCGTCCCCGTCTTCTTTGACCTTCAATCTTTCCCAGCATCAGGGTCTTCTTCTCCAGTGAGCGCTCCCTTCTCATTGGGTGGCCAAAGTATTTGAGCTTCAGTTTCATTATCTGGCCTTCCAGGGAACAGTCAGGGTTGATTTCTTTTAGGATTGACTGATTTGATCTTCTTGCAGTCCAAGGGACTCTCAAGAGTCTTCTCCAGCACCATAGTTCAAAAGAATGTATTCTTCGGCGCTCGGCCTTCCTTATAGTCCAACTCTCGCATGCTATGGATTGTCTAGACGGCGTCCACTGAAGGAGGCACGTGCGGTGGGGTTTTTTAAAAACTTTTTGCGCATTCGCATAGGCATGATATCGCGGCCGTGTTTATCTGTGTATGTGCAGAATCAAGATTTTTTTAAAAAAAATGGTGCCTGTTCGGGATGGTCTGACGTCAGACCATCCCGAACGGGCACCATTTTTAATTGTGCGCTGGAATGATCAGATGGGGGGAAGTCCACGAGTGGCCCGTTGAAACCGAAAACTCTGCAAAACGGGATACTAACGGAAGACGGACATTTCCCAGATGTTGATGTCTGGACATTTAAATCCATGAGGCGCAGATCTAAAAAGCCGTCTGAACGCACCCTAAGGTTCAAACTTACAGGGGCTAAACAGCAAATTAACATGCAACATGATGAAGATGTGCAAAGACAAAACTAAATAACAGGTTAAGGTTATCAGGTCAACAGTCGAGAGGCAATAAATATGTCAAAATAGCAGATAAGTGTTTAAAGGTATCTTTTCTAATTGTGGGAAGTAAACGTGGGAAGCAAACTGATAGTAAGAAGAGAGAGACTAGAGAGGTGCTGGTTGGTGTGAAGAACACCAGCTGCTCTTCGAGGATGACTGAACACGCAGCCCAGTTCCCTGCTCCGTCTTGTATCGCAGGGCAGATGCATGGCCTAGTTTCCTCCACTGAGCAGAGATGTGCAGACACAATGGGAGCAGGGCTGGCACGGTTGCGCTTGCAGGAAGCAGCCAGAGGGGGTGGGAAGAGGCCCGATCCTTGGGGAAATGCTGATCTTGAGCTGGGGGAAAGAAACCAGATACGACTGGGTCTGTCTTTGGAGCCTGCATGTGTTAAGCCAGCGGGAGATGACAGCCACGTGGGTTACGTCAGCCATGCCAACGGCATCGCTTCTCTGATCAAACGTCCCTCTTGTTCCCGGCTGCACGCTCTCCAGCGGCCCCCATTTACTAGACTCGGCCCTTCTTTCATAGTACCTCTCCAGAGCAAATTGCTACTCTTGATTGGGAGGGGAATTTTTATAACATAAGTTTAAGATGGTAGGGTTGGTGTTGCTGACCTTGTAGCCCTCCTTGCCTTTGAAAAACTGAAATATATGGAGATAGATCAAGATGGACAGCCACATTAGCCTGTCCGCATCAGGAGAGAAGAGCAAGAGTCCAGCAGCACCTAAAAGACAATGAAATCTGTGGCAGGGGAGGAGCTTTTGTGAGTCACAGCAGTCACTTCTTGGCAGGGGTCATTTTGTAGAAAAAGAGGTGCAGGAGCTCATTAGCATAACTTATTTGCATACACCACACCCCCTGACATCACCGGAAGTGTGTCAGAAGGCAACACCCACCGCTCAGGTTCCACTGGACTGTTTTGGATTGCTCGCTATTGGGTAGGGGGAAACGTGCAGATCTGTCCTCACAGAGGAGGGAGAGCTTGTACCTGGATAAGACTTGGTCTTAAAGGTGCCACTGGACTGTTTTGGACCGGGGGGCCGGGTGAGCTCTGCAACTTACCTGACTGCTTCTTGCCCTGACTGAGGGCTTCTGGGAGCAGGGGGTGGGGCTTGTTGCATGTGCCCGCCCCCTGGGCTCTTTACTGCCGGAGCTCCGCTCCTGTGCGCTCCTGCAGGAAATGACCCCTGCTTCTTGGTATCTGAAGAAGTGAGCCGTGACTCACAAAAGCTCCTACCCTGCCACAAATTTTGTTAGTCTTTAAGGTGTAAGGTGTGACTGTGCTTTTGCTCTTTTCTACTGAAATATATGGATGGGGGTGGGCGCATATCCTTCCTTCCTTCCTTCCTTCCTTCCTTCCTTCCTTCCTTCCTTCCTTCCTTCCCGCCCCCCCCCCCAGTAGCATGCTCAGGGCAGCTTACAAAAGATAAAACATAAGAACAATTATGACATAAATAAAACCATCTAAAAACGATCCAAGCTTCCCCTCACTGGCAGGCTTCAAACAACAGTAGGACAAACACTTGTCAGGGATGCTCTAGGCTGATGCTGCACTGAGCCAAGGTTGGACCAGATGGCCTGTCGGTCCCCTTCCCACTCTGTGGTTTTATGATTCTGTGTGTGGAAGGTCCATCCCACCTGCTTCACTTAGGCCTGTGGGGTACCTGTATTTTTTTTAAATATTTTTTTTATTTTATGATACCTTGTAATACAATCATTTATAAAAACCAAACAATAATAACAACAACAATAAAATTACAAATTACAAATTGCGAATCCACCTTCATAGATAACAGGTGGGTTGGGAACTTACCTCCATTGTTGGTGGGAGTGTCCCATAATCCAAACATTTTGGAAAAAGGTGCTAGCAGAAATTAAGTCATTAACTGGTCATGAAATCCTGTATTTTCTACCTGCCTTGGGGAGCTGGGATAATCTACATTCTGCCTGCTTCTGTCTTTAAGATGGGCTGGCCCAGCTTTTACCCCTGATTTCAGTCTCTCTTGACCAAGTGTTCTTTGATGGCTGCGGAACTGCTGCCGAGTCCCGTAGCCTTGGCGCAGAACAGAATGGCTAGATGTCTAGGGGTAGGTCTGTTGTATTCAGGTTGGGAAATCCTTGGAGATTTGGGGATGGAGCCTGGAGAGGACAGGGACTTCAGTGGGGTCCAGTGCGACAGAGTCCATCCTCCAAAGCATCCGTTTTCTATAGGGGAACGGATCTCTGTAGTTTGGAGATGAGCTGTAATTTTGGGGGATCCCCAGGTCCCGCCTGGAGGCTGGCAACCCTGTTATGTCCCATCGGCTTCAGCTGCCCTGCTTATGATGATGCACCTTCATCCCTTCAGATCGAAAACATGCTCAACGAAGTCAAATTCGGTGAATATCTTGAGACTGGGAAGCAGGTGACGGAGATCAACTTGGGGGACTTCATCAAACTCTACATAAATCACCGGCCGGCCTTCGGGCTGTCCGTTAGAGAAATCGAGGCCGCCTTCCAAGTGCTGGGCTACGAGAATGAGAAGCAAGAGGCCTGCCTGAGCCGGAGCGACCTGCTGCTCTTGCTCCAGCAGAAAGGTGGGCGAGGCGAGCCCCGAGAATGATTGGGGGCGGGGCGGGGCGGCCAAGTCAGTCTCCAACCTCTCTGCCTCTTCCTCCACACAGGGGAGCATTTCACGGAAGAGGAGCTGGCGGAGTGCCTCACCACGCTGCTGGGCATGAACCCCGAGGGAGGGTCTTCGGAGGGGGGCACCTACGATCCCGAAGGTACTTTGGTAGCATTTTGCAAAGAGGAAAAAGAGGGGAACCGGCTTGTAGGTTCACTCCAGGGGTCCCCAACGCTTCTTGAGCTCGTGGGCACCTTTGGTATTCTGGCGCAGTGGGGTGGGTGTGGCCACACAACGGCTGCCATAAAAATGGCTGCTGCAGGAGGCGGGGCCGGCTACAAAGCTGTTGCCCGAGTTTACCTTCAGTCACACAGTGAAGATCCTTGTGCTCCGGTGGCCGTTGCTGACATAGGAATGTTTTTTTAAAAACTGCGCAGCCAATCAAATCTCCTGTGACCAATCAGAAGCCTTGCTGGGCAAAAGCCCCACCTGGCCCCGCCCACTTCCCATAATACTTGGCGGGTGCCTTACCCTAACCCACAGGTACCATGTTGGGGACCCCGGTTCACTCTTTGTAGACGCAGCATGCAATCTCACAAAGTATAAAGCTGACAGCACCAGTCAGCAAGACCAGATCATAAATGTACTTGAAATGACTCTCTCTCTCTCCCCCCCCTTCAGATTCCACCTTTTCTGTGGTACACACCTTAGTCCCAGGCCCATAGCCACAGTGGGGCATTTTGGGCATCCCCCCCTTCAGATGTAAGGCACGCCCCACAACAACAGCCATCCCTCTCCCCCTCCTCCCTTCCTGCAAGATTTAAAAGGCCTTCCAGCCGATCGGCTGGGGCCACGGTGGCTCAGTGGTTAAGACACTTAGCTGCAGACCGGAAGTTCTGTAGTTCGGCAGTTCGAGACCCGAGTGTTGCGTGATGGAGTGAGCTCCCGTCTCTGGCCCCAGCTCCTGCCAGCCTAGCAATTCGAAAGCAAGAAATTGCAAGTAGATAAAGAGGTACCGCTTCAGTGGGAAGGTAACAGTGTTCCGTGCGCCTCGGCGTTTAGTCATGCCGGCCACATGACCACGGAGAAGTCTTTGGACAGCGCTGGCTCTTCCTCAAGCTGGAGTGCTCCTCATGCAAAACGCGCGGCCCACCCTGTGCCATACCAGATAATAATGGTGTTTGTGCCATTCTGGACCGACACATTCTGTTCACAAGGGGTCCCAGGGCACATCTACAGCACTCCGTGATATACATATGCTGGACTGGCATTAAACCAAACACTCTCCACATGTCAAGCCTTTCTTTGTAGTGTGAGCTCAGGTGAAAGGAGTGAATAAAATGGAGTTACATGATCGCCCATAAGCCAGAGGGCTCAAGCAAGCGACGTCAGTCACAGCCAAAAGACCCCAAGGGTCACTGGCCAATCCCACCTTGGGACCACCGCTCCTTGGCTTGAATTAAGTAGAAGAAGAAAAAAGAGAGATTTGATTTATACCCCCGTCCCTCACTACTGGAAGGAGTCTCAGAGCGGCTTACCATCTCCTTTCCCTTCCCCTCCTCACAACAGGCACCCTGTGAGGTAGGTGGGGCTGAGAGAGCTCTATCGAGGCCTGCCCTTGAGAGAAAGGCTCTGAGAGAGCTGGTGACTGACCCAAGGTCACACCAGCAGCGGCATGTGGAGGAATGGGGAATCAAACCCGGCTCTCCCAGATTAGGGTCCGTGCCCTTAACCACTGCACCAAACTGGCTCTCAATGAGAGGAAGAAGTCGTGCTTGTCCACTGAAGTGCTGGAAAGTGCTGTCGAGTCACGGCCAATGCCAGGTGACCCCTGCATCGGGTGTCCAAGGCAAGAGACGAACAGAGGAGGTTTGCCGTTGCCTGCCTCTGCATAGCAATCCCGGACTTCCTTGGAGGTCTCCCATCCAAATACTAACCAGGACTGACCCAGCGTAGCTTCTGAGATCTGATGAGTTGGGACTAACCGGGACCATCCAGGTCAGGGTACCTGACCCACTCCTGGAGAACAAACACATTCAGGTCTTTTATACGAAATCAGAGACTCAGTCCATCTGTTGCATCACCGGGTCTCAGGCAGAGCAGCGTCTTTCCCAGCGCCTGCTGCGTGAGATCACTGAACTACAGATGCCAGAAATCGAACCCGGGATCTTCTGCAGAAACAGGAGGCGCTCTGCCGCTGAGCCAACCCCTCTTCTGAAGGCGTCAGGAACACCCACCCCACTAGACTTAGCTTTGTAGACATTCCATTCCACACCCCGCTGTTTCCAAAATGTACGGAATTTTAAAATAATTTACGGTGGGTTTTTCTCCTCCCTTCCGCTCCAGGTGCGGAGGCCTTTATTGAGGAAGGAATTCCAGAGGAAATTCCAGCAACGCATTTTGTGGCAGAAATATTGGGCTTACCTATTCCCGAACCAGCATTAACAGGGATGGAAAAGACGACCGAAACCCAGAGCAGTGACCTGTCAACCAAGTCTTAACGGCCCCTGACTCATCTCATTCTTTGCTTTGTATCTGCCCTAACCACCTATTTCCTCTGAAGCACCTTCAGAAATTATGTTGTCTTATTAAAGGTGATGTTCAAGCCGTAATAAGCTCTTAACAGAAGTCAATGTGCAAGAAAGGATTCCTGGATTGGTCCAACTCAAGAACTCCTGAGGTATGTTTTAGGCTGTGTTGGGTATCTTTGCTGGTGAAATCTGAGGGCAATTGGCACAGGACACAGAATACATGATTCAGACATTTGATCCTATTAGGCAACTTGTTTCTAGATGAGGATTTGGGTTCTTGTTCAGACCAGTGGGGATATTTCTGGTATGCAACATCACAAATTCCAGTTCTGAGAAGGAACATAGTTCCCCTACAGCAGGGGTGTTGAACTCATTTGTTATGAGGGCCGGATCTGACATAAATGAGACCTTGTTGGGCCGGGCCATGTGTGTCATAAAATGTAATGCCAGGTAGTGGAGATATAAACTTTATAAAGGACACAAACACAAAAGGAATTCACTGCACCAGGAAGTGGTGGCGGCTACAAGCATGGACGGCTTCCAAAGGGAATTAGATAAGCATATGGAGCAGAGGTCCATCAGTGGCTATTAGCCACAAGGTATAGATAGGGGCTCTGGGGCAAGTGATGCTCTGTCTTCTTGGTGCTTGGGGGGATCAACAGTGGGAGGGGCTTCTAATGTCCTGGCCCCACTGATGGACCTCCTGATGGCACTGGTATTTCTGGCCACTGTTTGACACAGAGTGTTGGACTAGATGGGCCTTTGGTCTGATTCAACATTGGCGTCTCTTACGTTCTTAAAGGTTTTTTTTTTTAACTTAAAAACATGCTTAAAACATTAGCATTCTTGCAACATTTTATTTAACAGTGTCTGATAGCTGACACCTCTTGCTCTGAATTATTGCATCAAAATGTCTGTGCTGTTGCAATCTTGAGTATGCTGTTCAGATATGTATCTGTAAGCTGCAGACCTACGATGAGGCAGCAGCAGCAGTGGAAGAAGCAGCAGAAGACAGCCAGTTCCACTGCGGGCCTGATAGAAGCCCTCTGGGAGCCTAATCCGGCCCCTGGGCCGCATGTTTGACACCCCGCCCTAAAGTAAGGGGCTGGAATGAGTCTATGAGGTTGTGGGACTTACTTAAGTGTATCTTGAGAAGCCATGAGGAATGCTGAATATGTATTTAACACATGTGCCTTTCTCCTGAGCATGTAAGAACACAAGACGGATAACAAAGATATTGTAAAAAGTATCAAACAACTGGATAAACATTAAAAACAGATATACAATAGAATAAAAGCCCATTAAAAACCAATCTGAAAACACCTTATGCTTCACTAGTATCTATTTCCCCCTCTGCCCTGGCTCAGGTTGAGCCTAAAGCTCTCTGGAGTAACTCCAAGTGGGTAGCCATGTTGGTCTGGAAGGTGCCACTGGACTCAAACCTTTGCTGTGGAAAAACTCGAGAAAGTCAGGAGAACAGACCTTCCCTCGGCCTTTTCTCGGAGGCTGTTCCATAAGCAGAGGAAACTGCCTGAAAAAGCTCCAAGCCTGGAAACTTCTATTTAATGAGGTTATTTATGGTCTGCCTTTGCTGCTGAGACATCCAGTGAACAGTGCAACAGCGTTAGGACTTCAGAAATCTTAAAACAAACGGATCTTAAACTGGGCTACAGCAAACCTGAAACTGATCTCCAGGCGACAGATCAGTTCATCGGGAAGGTGGAACCTATGGCGTTATACACCATTGACGTCCGTCCGCAAACCCCACCCTTCTCAGACTCCATCCCCCAAATTCTCCAGGTATTAAAAAGGGATTAGATAGATTCATGGAGGATAAGTCTATCAATGGCTACCAGCCACGGTGGCTGAGGGGAACCTCCACAGAGGTACTAATCCTTTTAATCCGAGGGGGGCAACATCAGGGGACGGCCTCGGACTCTCTGCCCTCTTATTGGACCTCCAGAGGAACTGGTTGGCCACTGTGTGAGACAGGATGCTGGACTAGATGGACCCTCACTGGTCTGATCCAGCAGGGCGCTTCTTATGTTCTTATGAAGGCCTCGGCCTCTATGCCCTGTTGTTGGCCCTCCAGAGGAACTGGTTGGCCCCTGCGTGAGACAGGATGCTGGACTAGATGGACCCTCACTGGTCTGATCCAGCAGGGCGCTTCTTATGTTCTTATGAAGGCCTCGGCCTCTATGCCCTGTTGTTGGCCCTCCAGAGGAACTGGTTGGCCCCTGCGTGAGACAGGATGCTGGACTAGATGGACCCTCACTGGTCTGATCCAGCAGGGCGCTTCTTATGTTCTTATGAAGGCCTCGGCCTCTATGCCCTGTTGTTGGCCCTCCAGAGGAACTGGTTGGCCCATGTGAGACAGGATGCTGGACTACATGGACCTCTGGTCTGATCCAGCAGGTCTCTTCTGATGTTCATATCAGTCATGGCCAGTGTTGTGTTTTTCCCCCTGTGGCTGGGTTGCTGTGCCTTTAACAACCACAGAACCCGAAATCCCACAGGTGAACTTCTTTATGTCACTGCCTTTCCATGCTGGGAAGCACGTCAATTGTCAAATACACATATTATGGGCATATCTGAAGTTGCCTTATATGGATTCAGATCCATCAAGGTCAGTATTGTCTATTCAGACCGGCAGCAGCTCTCCAGGGTCTCAGGGGGAAGATCTTTCACATCACCTGCCATTACCCGATCCTTTTAACATGGGATGCCAGGGATTGAATCTGGGACCTTCTGCTTGCCAAGCAGAGCATCTACCACCGAGCTGTCCCCGAATCTTTGCTTGTCACGTACATGCCAGAGAATAAATGGTGTTGTGATGCTTGGATTATGGCCATCCCCGGCCTTGGTGCCCCCCCTCCTTTCCACACTGACCCCCAGTCCGTTTTAGTGCTTGACCTGTCTGACCAGATAGGCAATGCAGGTTGCAGCGATACAAAAATCTATTCATAGGATAACACAATATACTGGACAAACGAAGCTTTTTCACCCTTTTCCCAACTTTGTGGCGCCCCCTTTGGCCCTGGTGCCCTAAGCATGTGCCTTAGTCTAGTAAAGGTAAAGGTTCCCTTGCTCCAAAGCCAGTCGAACGACTCTAGGGTAAAGCCGAAGAGCCAGCGCTGTCCGAAGACGTTTCCGTGGTCATGTGGCCGGCATGACTAGACGCCAAGGCGCACGGAATGCTGTCACCTTCCCACTGAAGTAGTACCTGTTTATCTACTTGCAATTTCTTGCTTTTGAACTGCTAGGTTCCAGGAGCTGGAACTAGAGACGGGAGCTCACTCCGTCATGCGGCACCCGGGTCTCGAACTGCTGAACTACCGACCTTCCACAGCCTGCAGTTCAGCGTCTTAACCACTTGAGCCACCGCAGCTCCTAAGCACGTGCCATAGGCTGCTTCATGGTTAATCTGCCCCTGTATATATCCGACCAATTTGTGTGTGTGAGTGTGCGTGTGTGTATGTATATATATGTGTATATATGTGTATATATATGTGTATATATGTGTATATATATGTGTATATATGTGTATATATATGTGTATATATGTGTATATATATGTGTATATATGTGTATATATATGTGTATATATGTGTATATATGTGTATATATCAACAACCTCAGATATGCAGATGATACCACTCTAATGGCTGAAAGTGAAGAGGACCTAAAGAGCCTCTTGCTCAGAGTAAAAGAGGAGAGCGCAAAAGTGGGCTTGAAGCTCAACATCAAAAAAACTAAGATCATGGCATCCGGCCCCATCACTCCTTGGCAAATAGAAGGGGAAGTCGTGGAAGTAGTGACAGACTTCACGTTCCTGGGATCCCAGATCACCACAGACTGTGACTGCAGCCATGAAATTAAAAGACGCCTGCTCCTTGGGAGGAAAGCAATGGCGAACCTAAACAGCATGATAAAAAGTAGAGACATCACCCTGCCAACAAAAGTCCACATGGTCAAAGCAATGGTATTCCCAGTAGTCATGTATGGCTGCGAGAGTTGGACTATAAGGAAGGCCAAGCACTGAAGAATAGATTCTTTTGAACTATGGTGCTGGAGAAGACTCTTGAGAGTCCCTTGGACTGCAAGAAGAACAAATCAGTCAATCCTCAAAGAAATCAACCCTGACTGTTCCCTGGAAGGCCAGATAATGAAACTGAAGCTCAAATACTTTGGCCACCAAATGAGAAGGGAGCACTCACTGGAAAAGACCCTGATGCTGGGAAAGATTGAAGGTCAAAGAAGACGGGGACGGCAAAGGATGAGATGGTTAGACAGTGTCA